AAAAAAAAACTAGAGAACATGAACTCGGTGTGTATCTCTAGCTGCATCAACGACACACGTGACACGCGCGTGCCAGTTCGTGCCACGTACGTGAACCTATACAAGTGGCCTGAGTCCGACGCCGAGTTCGTACGTTCCGTTCGCCGTGGAGGCGGCGCACCAGCGGCTCGCGTGGTGGATAGCATCTCTTGCCGGCAGATGTATCTCCGGAGCTATACGTTCTCTCGGGAAGACGACGATAAGAGCAAATCGGCAAAGGTGACGTCACCGACGACGTCGTGTCTAGGGAGGGTTAAGGAAACGGCGTCGTTTCGGTGGGTGAATAAGGAGGAAAGTGACGTCATCGTCGTTGATGAGAGGATGAAACGGCGTCGTCGTGGTGAGAAGAGGAGAGTTCGAAGGAAGAAGAGACAAGAACAAGCTTGTTCTGTTATGTTCAGGTTTTTTCGAAGGTTACTGTCTTGTACTGCTTCTATTGATGTTGTTGATCCATACTAAATTAAGTCAATTACTTTTTTGTATTAAAATTATAAGTAATATATATTTGAGTTTTGTTTTAAGAGTTATTTGGAATTGGTTTATCTGCTTCTCTTCTTTCTTGTTGTTTTGTATTTAAACTTGTACTATATAGAGTTTTTATGGTATATTTTGTTTTTGTATGAGGTTTTGTAGTTATTTGTAGTTTACATGATCTTTCATGCATGCGCATGAGTAATTGTTGAATTTTGAAATACCTATGGCATTTGTTGTTCCCTTTTCTATTTGATATTATTTTGAGATTTCCCAAACGTTATGAGTTTAGAAAGAAAAAAAGTAAATTTAAGCTTAAATTGCAAAAGATAAAGGTTATTAATCATATATACAAACAAATTATATGGATAATTTTCTTTTTAATAGATCGTGAGAGTTCTGAATTTTTGGCTCATATTTGAAGTCAGTCTTTACATATTCTGATTTAAGTAATAATCTTTCGATCCGTACTAAATGGTAAAAAAAAATTGTTATATTGAAATTAAACTACTAGGCGGGGAATTCTCGCATCGGATGCCCATGGATTCGCAGCTAAATGTGTAAAAGTAAAACAAAGTTGTTCAACACTTGTAAAAGAAGAATCGCAGCCAAAAACAAATCTTATTTGTAGATTCTTATATCTTTCAAAATTACTAGATAGATGATCACTTACGTCTGTCAAGAATAACTACTTCGTATTTGTAATTTTTAACATTAATACTATATTTTCAAAATTTGACGTAGAAATTAATAAATCTATACTATATAAAAGTTGTAAAACCTTTGATTTTTTGTCTGGTTCTAGTTATATATATTTAGTCCCCACTTTTCTTTTGAATGTCTCTGAACTTCTGAAGATAATAAGGAAAATTATTCATTCAATTAATTAAAATTTGTTTCCCACTTTCGTTGGCGTAGATCGTGTTTAGAATTGGAGGAGTCAATATATCAACGCCCGTCGTTTTAACAACCCGCATTTGAAGATTTAGACTACAAACTATAATGATATATAAATACAGATGGGTCGTATGTTAAATTGTTAATCACTCACACCTACATGAGGGTTGTTTATAGTGCATAATAAATTAATAGTTTAGTGGAATAATACTGAGATTTAACAATCAATGACTTACCAAGATTCATGTCACGCCTGTTATCATTAGTGGGGACTTAGTGAACCACACACATAATCACGACCATAAAAGAAACTAAAATATGATTCACTTTTTGTTGTGTCATGAGTTTATTTCTTCAGTAATTATATAAGATATCCAAACCTTAATTTATTTTGTAATACTCAGACCTTTTAAGTTTTACCGATTGAGTTAAGAATTAAATTGTTTATTTTATCAACAATAAACCCTTTACTTGTCGCTTCATTTGTACAATAGTGTCAGGAAGTTTCAAACTCTCGATTAATAATTTCCGGATACATTGTCGGATGCAATAGAGATAGTAGTTTAGCAAAAAAAGAAATAGAGATAGTAGCAAAACAATTCTTTGATATAAACTACAAAATGTTGAAAAAAAAAAAAATAAATTTGACATACACCAAACAAGGCATGCTTTAATTCTGACGCTTAAACTCCAAGACTCATCGAAGAGACAATATGTTCGTCTATTATTCAACCCTATCTTCTCCATTACTTTATTATTTGCTTACAAATGTAATCATTATAATCATTGCATAAATTTCCACGTAACTCTAAATTCCTAGATCACCTTAGAAGAACCAGGTTACACAAAGTAAGAATATATCCAGAATCGTGACACAAAAAAATCACGAATATCTATATTTCGAAGAAAAAAACATTAAGAGTACACATATTCATTTCCATATTAATCTCCTCAATACAAATTTATTTTGTAGTATAGTTAACAAGCCTAAGAAACCGTATAAGTGAGCACTAAACTTCACATATATTCCTTATTACAACTTAAATACTTGAGAAGTTTTGTATCAAATTGTTTCAGAGCTCAAGCTCTTCTTTCTTCAGGGCAAGC